TTCGCAAAGAAAAATAAAACGAAAAAAAAAAACATTGCTGAAAATCGCATATTATAGCATCAGGAGTGATTGCGGTGAAAATATCTGCCTTTTTCTGCATAAAAAATACTTTCCAAAAATGGGTATTTCACATCACAGCACAGGACAAAAGCACCCATAGGATTAAACTAAATGAACAAAAGCATCTAAATGACTAATCCAGTATTTTGCAAAATATCTGGGAAAAGTTTCTTTGTACGCAGCCCGACCGAACGCATTTCTGCGAATTGATTAGCATTGTAAAATTGCATGCATTGAAAGCAAGAGTGAAGAGTGCACCCACGGGTGTCAACGTCCTTGATATGAATGACGCACATTCATGCCTGGACGGGCGATAGCATACGCACTGAAATCAGACATAAGTATACTTATATGGTGCCTTCGTTAGAATACGTCAAGGACTTTTTGTTCATACGAGTAGCAGGCACTTGTTCGAAGTTTGTTGAGTGGTTCTATGAAGTCCCAGTATCACTACGACTGGTTACCTATCTATTATTATTCGAAGTCACTAAATTACTAAATGCTCTATTTCAAATCACAGAGTAATCTAAATCGATTCGATACTGTTGTGCACGCAATCAATGTATTACTTAGTGGGAATCAAACTTTTTAAATGTTTAGCTTACGAAAGACTCAATCAAAAATATAAGTCTTTATTAACAGTTTATTACTTTCGAACCAGTATTTATTATGACAAACGGTTTTATTGTGATTAGACGTCTACTTATTTTTTGTTGCAAATCATAAAAAGTTACGCAACAGTAAAATTATTCATTCACTCCTATGTAGAGACGCACTTTAATTTGAATAATAAATAATAAAAAAACGCATAATCAAAATAATTAGAAATCGGAACCCGCGTTTATTGCCAGACCAATAATTGAAAATGAAACTGATGCAGTTACGTCACGAGACGTAAGTACCCTTTAAAATTGGTTATTGAGTCAAAAGTTTCCCCCAAAAGTCGCGTAACTGGACAAGACAGGTTGGTCGAGTTTTCTTCCCAACTCGTAATGTGACATCGCGTGATTATTTTTGACATTTGCAGACAATTTTATGATGAGCTGCAATGTAAAGGAGTACCCAATTTGTGCGGAAAAGTTGTCACTGACATCGTTATCTCCAAGTAAGATAGAGATCACAGACGCTGTCTCAACTGGTAGTTCAATGCATATTGGGTGACTGAAATATTGCCTTGTTGTGTTAATTATATGACCATTAATAAAATTGTCAACAATCTCAATAATCGAGCTCCCAACCGACACCGGGTAGGGCGCAACATGGACGTTCGATATAAGCTTCGTTTTGTCCATGTTCATCCGAAGGCCATGTCTTGGTTGGTTATTACAAAGTTGGTTACTATAATCAGGGCAGGGCCGCGCCAACCGCCGGCAGCGCCTGTGTGCGGAACCTATGAAGCGCCTCTTTTCTAATGAATCGTCATAAAAAAACGAATTTAAATTTTTTAAAAATATTTTAATTATTAATTTTGATTAAAATAGATGTTCTCCAGTTTTAAGTATTAAGTAATTGACTATGAAATTTTTGCATGTCTTGTAGACGAAACATGTTGAACCTGATTGTTTTTATCTGACATCTGTATTGTACTGGGTGGCGCAAAAGTAAAGACCCTATTTGGTTCAGCTATAACATTTTTTCTAAATTAGAAAACTAGATTTAGGTTTTTTTAAATGTATATTTGTGCCATTAAATTTCGTACCATTAGGATTTAAAGATGATGTCTTTTAAATGGTGACCTCCAGAGTAGATACACATTTGAGCCCTATTTATGACATTTTGCATTACTTGCCGTAACACTTCCTGCGATATGTTCGTTATTTCTTGACGAATGTTTTCTTTTAGAGCTGCGAGAGTCTGTGGCTTGTTCACATACACCCGAGATTTCAAAAAACCCCAAAGAAAGAAGTCTGGACTGGTCAGATCGGGTGATCTTGCAGGCCAAGGCAAATCGCCAAAACGAGAGATAACTCGACCTGGAAAAGCGTCCGTAAGAACATTGACACAATTATTCCACGTTCTTGGGGAGTAAAACGGTCCATGTTTATTTTCAGTGTATTTTACATTTGTTCACTACACAATTTTCAACAAAAAAATGACAGAAAATGTCATATAAAAAAAAAGAAAGTATTTTCTTTAGTGCCAGTACTTTTGCGCCACCCAGTACCATGTTCCTGTGCAAATAAATGAATTTGAATTTAAATTTACAGTACCTACTTAGATAATATTATCATAAGTGTATTAAAACTGGAAACCACTTAGGAATTAGCTTACTAAATAGGTAAATCCCGTTCGTTCTGCTTGCCAATTAAGACCTACTACGAAAAAGTAAACTCAATTATAATAATTCAATGCGCACCTTACACCTTCTATCAAATGATACAGGGTGTTTGGCGGAAGGTTAGACAAACTTCGTGGGTGTATAAGAATACAAGTTCGCCCATTTGACCCTATTATAATAATTATAATTTTTGTATTATTATTCCATTTTTTTCCCTAAACTTTGAATTTTTGACGAATTTCAATATCTAATTAAAAAAAAGAAGAGAAGTTAGACATGTTTTTAAGTTAGCAATCCATTATCACCTTTAATTTTTTTTTAAATCGAATCCTATGTTGTATTCTTACCCATAGGTAAGAAGGTAATTTTAAGAATTTACAGTTTTTTTACCCACGAAGTTTGTCTAACCTTTCACCAAACACCCTGTATACTGTGGTTTTGGCTTGGCTATCTCGTTTTCTCGTTCGTTAAAATCCCCGTGGCGGGGAATCCCCGTGACCCCATCTCGCTTGTGTCGCACGCATCGCATCGGGTTGCGTTCATAAACTCACTCATAGTCATAAAAAAATTGTATGACAAACTCGGCGCCTCTACGGTTCTAAATAACTAGTACTTTATCTGAGGTTCAAAAGAACTGCCGCGCTTTTTAACGTTTAGTAATGTAAACTAAAACATCATCATCATCATCAACAGCCCTTTACAGTCCACTGCTGGACTATGAGCCTCCTCCACTATAGTGGAGGGTTTTGCCATAATCTCCACGCTTGGCAGGCGGGTTGGAGATCGCAGTTTAAAAGATTGATGTTTTTCAGAGAGCGCTGCTGCCCATTCTCTGTTTGATGCCGTGTGGTGACGGCAGAGTAGAATACATTTGTCACCAACCCCTACTCTTCCCGCGGGTGTCGTAAGAGGCGACTTAGGGACTACATCAAACTAAAACCCTAAGCGTAAAATGAAACCATAAACGTGAATCATAATAAACATAATATAAATATTGAGAGACTTGTTTAATAAGCGTAATATTTGTTTTGTTGTGTACAAGGCCTATGTTGCGCATACTGTAGGTACCTACTTACTCTATACTCCATTTAAAAAAAATTAGATGGCAGAAGCGGCGCGGCGCCCCTATTGTCTTGGCGCCTGTGTGCGCCGCACACATCGCACACAGGGGCGGCGCGGCCCTGAATCAGGGTGAAATTGATAAAATCTAATAATCATGTCTGAGACACCTCATAGCGTTTTATGGAATGTGACGTCAGAGTTGATGGTAGAGTCGTTTGAACCTAAAAGCAGAAGGCAAAAGTAGAAGAATAACTTAGATATTTCGTTTTAACTAAATAAAATCTCTCAGTTGAAGACACAAGCAACATTACAAACCGATAATTGTACGGCGCTACTCATTACTGCCGGACATAATGTTTATGGTTTCCTTTGAGGGGTGCGCTGTCCGTAACAAAAATCGACTGTGTCCGATAATCGTTACCGGACAGGATATATAACTACGGTTTCCTATGTTAGCGTGCCGTATCGTTAACAAATGTGTCTACATTATGTCTCTACATGTGTCGCAAAGTCTTGATGATATACATATTTTAAAATCTGATTGCCTAAGATGGGAATCGAATCAACGATCTTTCGCTTGCCGGGCGACTGCTCGCTTCATATGAGCTACCTACTAAGACATTGGGTGAACATTGAACCCGTCGAAGTTTTGCTATACTCGGAGACAGAGAACAATCTTTTATTTTTGTGTCAAATTAGTTTTACCGTAATATTACGTCACGTTTCTAAGTTGCCACAGCAAAGCAAGCCCTTCGAGCGCCATTATATTGCTGCGCAAGCGCTATCTCCTAAGATTTGTTTCGTTTCGTCAGGCATGGTAGACCGGTATTCAGGTTTTTGTTGACGAAACGCTCGTCTGGTGCGGATCCGCAAGGCTAACTGGCCCGGCCGGTTCTCACACATACTACGATATGCATAATGAGTACAGTCAGCGTCAAATAGTTCGTGGCACCCGAAGTAGCCAATAAGGGCTATATTTCACCGGGACACCATGGCAGCACAACCAGTCGCCGGCTACCAACAAAATGTATACAGCTCTATAGAGAGTTACTCACTTGGTGTCCGTTTGGTTGCGCAAAGCTAGCCGGTAGCCGGTAGCCGGCGACTGGTTGCGCCGCCATGGTGTCCCGGTGAAATATAGCCCTAAGTTCGCAACACGTCTTTGTTACCGCTGGAATAAGGTTGTGCAGTCAATTTTTGGCCACTTTGGGTTTTACGAACTATTTGACGTTGACTGTACAGACAGCTCAACACTAAACAACAGCTAAACACTGTTGCATCTTATGTGGCTGGAAAAGGAGCTATTTTGCAACGAAAATTGATAGACTGATGTGCTGTCGACTGTACAAGTATTGTTATGACCAAATTAGGGGCAAAACTTCCATCATAGGTGCTATTGGATTGAGAAAAGATTGTGTTAGTCACTATGCGGTAATGATAAACGGCCGATCGAATCTCGAAAGATGAATACAATTAAATATATCAAAATATACTGGAATGTGTTTAAAGCTCTACAAAATTTTTGGACACAAATTGTTTGAGCTGGAACTAAATTACATTTTGTATCATGCTACGAAGTATTTCATTTAATATTGCTTACCAGCATGTGTTTGGTTTACTTTCAAATCTGAAACAAAAAGCAATAAAATATTATTGAATGAAGTTACATCAACAAAAACATTAACAAAGTGGATATAACAGAACCCTAATGTTTCTGTTTTATGTTTGGCTTTCATTGAAACAAAGATGGTGGTTTACAACAGGTAGCGTTCGAATGATGTATGTAACAGGCGGTTGAAGAAGTACGCAACCAATGACAGATACATTTAAATGATAGGAAGCCAAATGAGGAAGCGCCAGAGCAGTGAACATTGAACGAGCGAGAAAAACCGCGTAACTGCACACAACACCGCGTAATTTACGTACGGGAGCGTATTACCAATGTTTTGTGCGGTGCAGGAAGCGCGGGCGCCATTGTTACAACACGTTCGAGTATTTTGTTGCTATTTTTGTGAGAACAGGGTTGATTGTGAGTTGTGAGAGACGATCTGAAGAGTTCGATTGGATACGTTCGATGACAATATTGTGTGATAATGAAACTCAGAACCCCTAGACTCTAGGGCCTAGAGCTAGACAAAGTAAGTGACAGTTGGAATTGCGTGATCGGTTCGCTCCGTCCTTGTTTTGTATGAAGTTACTTCGCCTATAGAGAAGCGATTTCCAAATTAAAACTACTATTATGTATTAACTAATGTATCTTTGTCTCTCCAGAACTTCAAGTCTTCAGTTTCTAGATTTATAAAAAAAGTTTTGTAGTCTTCAGTAACAACTCTCGCGTCATTATATTCACGATTTTTTTTATATTTGACTCGGCTCTACATTTTACAGAATTTAAATTAACTTCCCAAAGTAAACAATTATGGTTTTTTGTGGACGAAATACTGACTCTACATCGCACAAAAATCTTTACCTATTACGTACCATAATAATGACCAGTCATAACAAATAACACTAATTCCAGAGAAAAGATAACTCCTGCTAAGTGCTAATGCGTTATTTTAATTGTTTTATCAATAAAGTAGCTTCGGGCGATGGATACAATGAATGTATGCGTTGAGTAATATTATTGTTCGGGCTATCATAATATTATTTAACCTGATCTATCCTAGTAACCTGACAGTACAATAATGGAACAAATACTTGGGTGGGGCCCTTCGGGGATAGACTGACTGTACTGTAGATACAGGGTTGAACATTGGTGATAGTTCAAATGCATCAAATTTTTCCAAGAGAACGACGAAGTAGAAAAATTTTCAGAATAAAAATAAAATTAACCTCCTACAAATTGCCAGTTTCTGTAGGAATAAAATGTATTTAAATAAATAGATTAATCAACCTGTATATATAATATGTGCTGTATACCTGCGAATGAAAGGAACGTGAATATTTTTATATTTCGTACAAAAAATATCTTATGCATTTTTTGTAGTAGAAGCCAATACTGACTGAATTCTAATTAATTAATAAATTACGTTGCGGAATTATTGCGTTGAACAAACAAAAAAGTGTAAAAAAATTATGATTTACAGGAATTTGGCTATTTGTTCATAAAATATGCTATGTATATGATTATAATAGGTACTCACGGAATTTATGATTTTCTCACATGATCGACAAAAAAATCTGTCGAAATAATTTCGCATAATAATGAGGTCACTACTCACTAACTTACTATCATAGAATACAACTTATAATAAAATTGTGTATGGAATCACACACTAAAACATTAACTTTGTATTTTATATCATACTTATAAATTACTACCTATCTTAATTAGTAACGTAAGGTTAATAGGTTAATACGCGTATCCACGCAATTTTATTTTAAATCATAATGCGTATTTACATAATATACTTAATAGGCTTAGATAACAATGGGCTGTGTGGGAAGTCGCATAGTTCCCATATTTGTGGAGCTGTGATTTAGTCGCACGTAAAAAACGTCCTACATTAGTACCAATATGCAGTTTGAATAAGGCTCATTATTACGTGCGTTTTTTCAGTACTCCATGGTTGGTACAATTTTAAAACGGTGGTTATAGTTATCTATGAAATACAGACAGGTGATTTTGGTGTAAAATTACACATCAATTTATTGAAGACCAGCTGCCTTACATTTTAGGGCTTGAAGATATTTTATGTTACCCTTATGTAGCTTTTTGAACGTAAAAGAATGTTCAAAATCGGTTCAGTAGTTTCAGAGATTACTTCATTATACGGACAAATTCTAGAGTCCTAGACCAGTGATGGCCAAGAGGTCGACCGCGAAGATGATTTTGATAGCCCGCGAGAGTTAAATAAACTGAACAGAATGATTGAAAATTAAAAATGTTTCATTTCACTCTTATAAACTGTGCCTCTACCATAAGTTTACCTACCGAGCATCTCGCTATCGAGGGCGTAAAAAAATGTATGGCAAATTGTACAGCGCCTCTAGCGGTTAGTAGCTGAACCACAGCAAAACTAAAAACACTACCATGAGTTCATCTCAAATCGTTAGGTAAAAAACTAATCTAATTAAATACGATAGCGACTAAAGTTTTTATTAAGTTTCATTACAAATAACTTACCATGAGTTGCAATTTTCAAAGATGTCATCGAAAAATACCTTAGCTGTCACAGTAACGTAACTCACTGGCTTATTGACGTGTGAAAAGCAAAATAAAATTGTGGTTTTAGGTCATTTTAGGTGTTTTCTTTATTAAATTATGTCGGAAAGAAGTTTATTACGATGGAACATGTTATCAGCATGTGGGCAGACCTCCCACTAGGTGGACCGACGATCTGGTGAAGGTCGCGGGAAGAACCTGGATGCGGGCACATTGTGGAGATCCTTGGGGGAGGGAGAGGATGCTACGTTTCCCAGAGATATGCGAGGGAATTGTGTCGTGCGAAGATGTCTAGCTGTGCTGTGAAAATGTGTGCGGGTTTCCACCAAAGCTGTGCGAGGAAAATGTATCGTACGAGGATGTGTAGCAGAGATTTGAAAATGCTCATTAGTGTTGTACAGCCTGAGCCTTTTCTACCAGAGATGTGCTGACCGAGGCGAGGTAAATGAAGCGTCAATAAAAATTAATCATTTTATTTTCAACTAGCTTTTGCCCGCGGCTTCGTCCGCGTGAAATTTAGTTTGTGACAGATCGTCATAATTATAGCCTATATGTTAATCTGGGTTATAAACAATAATACGGTAAAGTTTCATCAAAATCCGTTCAGTACTTTTTGCGTGAAAGAGTAACAAACATCTGGACATAATGACATCCAAACTTTCGCATTTTTAATATTAAGTAGGTAGGTAGGTATTAGTAAGATATGTATTTACTTAATTATTATTACTGACGAGATTGCTGCCATGTATGTTTAGTGACCATGAAAGAATTAAACAATATAATGTATTTAATTAATTATAATATCTTAAGTTTTACAATAATAAGGTAGGTATATCCATCCAGTTACCCTAGGTCTTTATTATGGATTTAATTTACAAGTAGGTAAGCACTCTGCTCTAAATCCTATGGCTTCAGGGAAGAACCTGGACCGCCACCAGTCCAGTGTTCCCTTGGCAGCTCTGTGTATGCGAGTTGCCTTCTTCTTGCTGTTTAAAGTCACTCCACACCTTAAAAAATAAACATTACAAATAATAATGACGAAATAAGATAAAAGCAATCAAAATGAATATAGTAAGTAGTAGGTAATTATACACACTTTTCTCAATTTCTCAGTAGTTTTGGTGTCGCCGGTGGCATCAGCATTTCACGTTCGCGTGTCCGTTAGTTCCACCCACCGTTGACTATTGTTGGCTCTTTCTTGGGGCCCTTTAGTGGGCATACTGAGATCGCCATATCTATAGAAAAACAACTTTATTGTATCTAGAAAATATAAATCTAGCACTCATATTACTGAATTTTAGCTAGGCACGTGGAAGTTATGCTGGAAAGGTTGTATTTCTCCAAAAAAACCAGCTCAAAATTATTCGTTTCATTTCTAGATTACTCCACTACATAGTATGTTTGTTTTTACTTAACTTACCTTTCCATAAATTCTACAATCGGTTTAAACGGATAGGCGCAGGTCATTTTCCTATCCTGGATAAAATCCAATTTTTTGTGGAAAATTATTCATCAATAATTCTTAAACAAAACATATTTTGTTGTCTGTTGTCATGACAACAGCTGCGTCAAAGTCGCAATGACAAGAAATAAACAATACAAATTTAAAATCATCATATTAATTCAGCTTAAGCACTGTTCTAGGACACTTGAATTTTGCAGTGTTATTTTTGACATTTTCGTTATTTCCTACTCTGTCTTTTCTATATAGTTAGAAAGGAGCGGCATTCGTTCTTTCATTCATCCATTCATAGAGTGTGAAGTTGGATACGTTAACATGCTCACCAACATGACATCAAAAAACCATCGAATTATCGCTGACGAGTAAAGTATACGGTAATTGAACTCATGGTATGATTTTAATGCAAACTTCATCGATCCACGTTTAAACTCTATCGACTGTAGTATACGAACACAAGTTTTCGATGGCAACTCATGGTAGAGGCACTGTACCTTACAGTCGACCGCAAGAAATATTTTCGAGCATAAGTAGACCTCACAGGTCAAAAGTTTGGTCACCCCTATCCTAGAGACTCTTCCTCCTTAAAATATTAGAATGCATTAAAATACTGTATTATTACAATATAAATACGGCGGATTACATTATAAATACCTAATAAAATTACACCACACCAACCCTAATGCCAGAATTTTTCAATACGCTTTACGAAAACCGCATCTCGTGGTGTAGAGCGGTTATGCTTGCAAAACATTACACTAATGATGCTTAATTACGTGGTATACATGAGATAATATAATATACAACACATAATATGATAGGATGACCAGCCTTAATGAACTTAAAACATTATTTTAATGCGTGTGATGCGTAGTAGCACGGTTGCATAGCCATAAATGAATAGTTAATTAATAGGACATATTTTGACCAAAAACATCTTATCATCCTGTGAACCCTGTGATTTACATGTAAACATACACATATTTATTACATACAAGCT